ATTAGTGCGTGACTCCCCTGACAGCCTGCAACATCACCCCAAACACTAGACCCCTCGCCACCTCTTCCACCTGCAAACAATCGAACAGCCTCCCCAGCGCATCGGCCGTGGCCGCCTGTCCCATCACTCCCATCAGCGCCGCCGGCACACCGCTCTCAATCAGCAATTTCCTCGCCTTGACTCTCAGCTTCTCCTTCTCTTCCGGCGTCGACTCCGCTGGCCACGCTGCAAGTTCCTCCTCCGTGGGGAGTGTGTTCTCCCTGAGCTTGCGCAGGTGTGCAGCGAGACCTGCGTCAGAGGTATTCGCGTCAAGCACTGAGGACTGGAGCATGGATTGGATGGAGAGCAGGGAGGGATTGCCAGGGCGAAGCAGGAAGGATTTGGCGGCGGCGAGGAGGGTGCGGCGAATGTTCCATGCCGAGGAGAGAGTGTAGAGCTCGTTGATGATGGCAAAGAGCAGCTCGACGGCGACGCGCGTTTCCTGCTCGGAGAGTTTGGTGTGCTGCTTTCCAGCGCGTGGAGGTTGTTGCTGTGGGGGAGTGGTTGAACGGCGGCCGCCGAGTGTGGGCATGGTGAGGGAGCGCGAGTGGGAGGGAAACTCCTGGGGCCGGCCGAGAGGGCTGATGGGGGATTCCCTTTCGTAGTCGTCGGCCATGGAGTCGGGCGGTGGCGGGAGGCGGAGGCCTTCGATGCTGAGAGCGGAGGGGGATCGGACAGGCGGGGCGAGGCTCGATGCACGGCTGTTATCGCGGCTGTTCCGAGCGGATGCCCGCGATCGCTGGATGCTCGGGGGCTCGAAATCGAACTGAGAGTTGTCGCTTGGCCGTCGTTCCATGCCGGGCATCTTCCCTGGTTGCGTGGCAACGACCGAGGAGCGTTGACTGTCAAGGCTATCACGGGTCTTGCGACCTCCACTGAGTGAGACACTGCTATCGACTCGCGGCAGACTTGATGGCCGACTCGATATGGAGAGTCTGCTTGCCGCAGTAACGTCTTGCAGCGGCGCCGCTGGCGGCGGAGTGGGAGCGGCTGCGGGCGTGGCCGGTTTTCGTTGTCCGATACCGATATTTCCGAGTACGCCCGTCACTCCGCCCACGACAGCTTTGGAGCCTTCAAGAGGAGCGCTGGTCAGAACGTCAAAGACGTTCTTGCCAATCTTCTCAAAAGCCTGAAGGTTCAGTTTCGGGCCTACAGGATTCCCAACCTGATCTCTTTCCAGAAACCGCTTTAGACCCTCGCTGTCGGCAAGAGATTGATACCAGCAGGCTTCTCGGAGGTAGCACTCCAGCGCTTCGCGCAAGGAGGTCCTCGTTTGGTTTTTCCAGTTCGGCAGTTGGTTGTGCTTCTCGGAGAAGGCGGTAGCTCCGGAGATCGTTGCGATTCTTCTCAGCACCTCGTGTAACCGCTCAAAGTCGCTGTACTTTCTGACGATCATCCACCCTGGGTAGTGTGTTGTCGCGGGCTCTATCTGGACGAGGTAGTCCCACGTCGGCTTGGCCTTGATCCGGCCACCAGGCTCGTCCAGTACGGTGATCGTTGCCTGGTAGAGAGTCATGGGTGGTGGCTTGCGGATCTCTTCTTCGGTCTCGGCGTCCTCTGGTACGGGAGGGACAATCTGGTCGAAGCTCGTGAACTGAGAGCCTCGGCCCGGAAGCGGCGGCGGGGACTGCTCTTGGACGATGGACCCCTGCGTTGAGAGCGGTGTCAACGGGGTGTGGATGATGTCTTTGCTGCTCGAGGAGCCGTCGCTCTGAGCCATTTGGGATTCAGCAGCGTCCTTCTGGACGTCAAGGTCGTCCGCATTGCGTTTAAAAGCGCCTGCAAGCCTCTCCGAGGCTTCTCTGGTGCTTTCTTCCTCAACAGGGACAGGGCTGATCGTAGGCGACCCGGGAGCCTCAAAAGACGCCTTGGACCTCCGAGCGTCCTCGTCCGCAATCATTTGATTTAGTCGTTTGATCTCTTCCATGGCTTCCAGCTCCTCTTCGGCTTTGCTGAGCTTCTTTTTGTGCGCCATGGACTCCTTTCGGCGCGCTCTCTCCTGCTCAAATGAGTTCTTGTTTCCTCTAGTCAGGCTGATGTTGCCAACATTACCATCCAAATCCGCAAAAGCAGCGTCCGTGCCAGGCCCCGTCTCCATCCCAACATCGATAGCGTGACTGAAATCGGGCTCTCCTGCCTCAAGCAGGTAAACGATCCAAGAGTTGATCCACTCCGCCCTGGAGCATTTCTGCAGCGTCGTCTCCAAGATGCTTGTGGCCAGTATCTCTCGCAGAAACACACTCGCCGGGTCACACTCGTATGTTTGACGCTCCAGGAAGCCCAGCAATTCCTCAGCAACCATCCTGAACTTGTTGGCCTGCTGCCTCTTGTTCAGCAAGTTGGCTAGGTTCGATTCGGGGTTCGCAGCAAGGTAGGTGTAGACCGCATCCGCCGCCGCCACGTTTGAGTCGGCCGGCATCCCCTCGAAAACGTTCGACAGCTCGGAGAAGAAGACAATCATAATCGAAGACGAGTTGGTAAGAAAGTCGAGGAACGAGTCCGCCGGTCGTTTGCGGCTCAGGTGGTTCGCGATGCTGTTGATATATCCGACCAGGGTTTTGCGGCAAGCAAGGGGGAAAAACTTGTCGGAGGGGACGATGGGCGAATACCACCACTTCACGTAGTCGCGAATAACCGCCTCTACGAGGCCATTCAAGGCGTCGCGTGTCTCCGGCCGGAAATCCTCAAAGCCTGTATTGCGGGCCAAGGCATTTCCCTGGCCATTCTCACTCGCTTCCCTTTCCAAGTCCAAGTTCTTCTTCAGCTCCAGCAGCCTCGTGAGCACGTCTAAGCCGCCTTCCCCCTTGACGGCGCGGGCCACATCCGCGTTCCGCTGTTCCCATTGTACAAAAACCACGACGCCTCCGAAGGCGCCTATCAAGAGAAGACCGACTTGTCCAAGGATGAAGTAGGTGACGGCAGCCAGGCCCACAGCAACTCCACCAAGAGTCCCAGGAGTGGCCGTTGCGAGAAATTGGAAGATCTTCGTCGTGAGGTCCTCCTCCCCCGCAATCGCCGTTGTGTCCGGGGCTTCCGGTAACCTTGGGGCCTTGTCCTGGCTCGGGTGCGCTTCTTCGATTACCTCCGAGGCATCGAGTTGCAGTTTTGTTTTAACTTCCATCGTGTCGGTTGCGGCGCACCAGCTACGCGCATCTTCTAGCTTCCTTTTGTATCATGCGATCTCGCTCCGGGGGGGCCACTGGCTCGGACCAGCCTGTCGCAGATCGGAGTAAGCAATCGTGGGCGGTGAATCGGCGACCGTGGCCTTGGGGCTGACGCTGACTTGGATCGAATCGGTTCTCAGGACGGAGGAAGCCGTGGCACAGCACTTGTTGAGCTTGGACAGCTTGCAGCAAATTGCGAGGCTGGGAAGACAAAGTATATGAGCAGCAAAATTGTTACACGCAAATCTGTTGCAATCGAAAGCAAACCACCGTCCGGCAGTCGAGCCTCTTGTTTCGAACAAATCCCCGGATCTTCAGACACGAGACTATTTTTCAGGGGAAAGGCCAAGCTTCGTTGAATTGACGAATTCCCGGACCCCTGGATGGCCGGCCGTCTTGGCGGGTTCGTTGGACTTGGTGGGGCGTGCAGGCCAAACGCGTAACGTCTCCACCATGCATCCCAAGGCGCAGTGCGCTGGCACTGACGGAGTGGGGCAGCAAGCCAGGGAGTTTAAAGTTCGTGATCATGTCCCACGTGATTTGGCGCTTTCTTTCTCGACGCTTCAACGCGCAATACCAAAAAGCGCGTCATCCTCGCTTCGCAACGCGACCAGATCAACTCGCACTCTGACTGCTATCCACTTCGGTAGCTTACGATGGGTAAACGCGCCGCCGAGAGCGATGGCGAGGACATCGCGTCTCCCAACCTCAAGAAGGCAAAGGCCAGCTCTTCAAAGACTCACAAGACACCAAAGGCCAAGGCCGACCCTGCCCCGCCGTCTGCGGCCAGCGGCACCGATGCCGAGGGCAACTCCTTCTGGCAGGTAAGTTTTGCCGCTCACACTCTGCTGTCCGCTGCCATTGACCATCCCCAAGATTGGCGGCACCCGCCGCGTGACCATCTCCAAGTTCAAGGGCACCACGTTGATCAGCATTCGGGAGTACTACACGGACAAGGCCTCTGGCGAGGCGAAGCCGACCAAGAAGGTAAGCTCCCATCTTAATGACGCGCGATCTTAGTTGACACTCTAAGGGAATCTCCCTTTCTGTCGAACAATTCCAGGGTCTCGTCGACGCGATGCCGTCCCTTGTCCAGGCACTGGAGGAAGATGGTCATGAGCTGTCCCTCCCTGACACGGGTAACGGCGGAGCTCCGATCGCAGAGGCTTCGGAGAAGCCAGAAAAGCCAAAGAAGGCTAAGAAGTCCAAGAAATCGGACAAGCCTGAGAAACCTAAAAAATCGAACATCGAGGAGACGAGCGAGGAAGAGGATGACGAGGAGGGCAGTGACGAAGAGTAGGGAACTGTCGCCACGACGACTTCCCCTGTAATCAAGAACCTAATCCGCGCGTTTGACAGCAAGGATTTGGACCGCCATCTGTATCTGAGCTCTCTCAGGTAATCCGACGACGCCGCGTATCACTCCTCATGTATCTTGGGCAAGGCCAGGACGAATCTGGCGACTGGTTTCTGGTTTTCGGGCGGACGGTACTTTTTTCGACATAAATGCTGGCATGTGTGGGCTGGCGCAACGGCACAATGGATTGGCTTTGTGCAGGGTCTCAATCGGAACTCTGCCAGGTGTTAGGGGGGTTCACAGTATGCACATAACCCACTCAATTGACGTCTCACGATACTCAGAGAGTCACCAGCCCCGATGTGTGTGTTGATGCCACAGGATCGAAGTTATGTTTGGCGGGCTTTTGAGACTCCATTCGTCTTCCCAAACTATGACGAGTCATGGCATTGGTCCACCAAGCGCTCAAAAAATATGGGTTGGCCTCAAAGCGACAAAATAGGTCGTACCCGGAATCGAACCGGGGTTCCCGGAATGATATGGTAAGCTAACACCAAATCAGAATCCGATGTGATGACCGCTACACTATACAACCGATGCTGATGCTGCTGAGGAAATGTGCTTTTGCGGGCCGAGACAGGGGTGAGCACAATTTCTTTGCAGACGAGCCTCAACACCACGCAAGCCTTTTGCGCACTAAAAATGAGTCATCCTGCCAGAAAACAAGGTACTCAGAAGCGATTGCGAGGCACGGCATGAAAGTTTGAGCAGGTGTCCATGTTCGCAGGTGGTGAAGTGTGCAACTCTTCCCAAGCAGGAAGGTACGACGATCCTCTGCGGTTTCTGCAGCCCATAGTCCGGAACCACCCAAACAATCTCTGTCTGCATTATATGGGTGCCTTGTAGTGATCAAGGTGATTCATCCGGGAAATACGCAGGATGCAGGGCGCAAACGCAAGGGATTGCGTTGCAAGAGTGCCATATAGCCGCCGGCGTGCTGTGCAACCATCGAGATGATGGCAGGATCTAATCAGGGAATCCTCTTACTACGTTACTTACATCTTCCAGGGTCAGCTCTGTGTTGGGTTTCTAAGGTAGAAGATTCGTATCGCGGAAGCACCACCGATAAGTTGCAACCATCCATGAACAATCTCACAACGCAGCGAAGATGGCCAAGCGAAGCAACTTGGCAAACGCCTGGAAAAGCGAGCGCCTTGTGTATCGCGCTGTGGTATGTCATCCGAGGTACAATATAGGGGGATTGACTGACAGCTTGCAGGAAGATGACGACGAGGACAAGCTTTCCCTTCTCGAACTCAACGATGGGGAACCGAGCGGCATGGCGATGCTCAACATCAAGCCTCTCGCACCGGGAAACAAGACATCGTCGGACAAATTCCTCACCTGGGCAAAAGGGGCGCTCATCCTTGCGTTTGTTTGTCTCCCGCCAGAAGAGAACCAGGACCAGAAAGCAGAGGGCGGGGAGAAGAAGAAGCCCAGGCCGAAGCCCATCGGCTTCTTGGTCATGTGGTACTCTCGAGGGGCTGAGTCCGCGCATCACCGAACGGCGGAGATGGGATTCGGTTTCGGACCGCAGCATCGTGGAAAGGGGTACGGGACCGAGGCGATCAATTGGTTGCTGGACTGGGGATTCATGCGGATGGGGCTACATCGCGTCGGGCTGCAGGCCTTTGAGTACAATCCCGAAGCAATACGGCTATATAAGAGGCTTGGGTTCGTTGAGGAGGGAAGGGAACGAGAGGCGTTGCTTTTTGAGAGGAAATGGTACGATCTGGTGCACATGGGAATGCTAGAGCACGAGTGGGAGAAGCTGAGGGAGCTGGGCAAGTGATGCGAGGCAGTCGAGTAGATCACAAGGCTAAATGGTTTCGGGTCAGACTTGCGCCATCGGGAAGTTTGGCCGTCCACGCCGTCGAATGCTTAGGGGTCCGTCGCGGTCAGCGCCCGCTGCGGGGTGATTGTTGATAACAGTGGCGTCAGTTGATCGGCTTTCGTCCCCGACGATCGGTGTGGTGGGGTAGCTAGAAGTGGGGCACGACTGCCGAACGACCCCCCTGAGCCGCTGGCTCCGGGCTGCCATGACGACAATGCATTCATTCACGCCTTGTTGATGAGGCAATTCATTCAGTTGCTTTGCATATACCTTTTTATCGTCGCCTGCATTCTTTGTGGCGGGTTGGTCTTACTTCCTGAATCTGCAAACTCCACGCCTCATGCAGCCTCTCTCGCTCTTTCCCTCAACATAAGAACTTAGATACGACAGGCACACTTTCTTCGTTACATCAAGACACCGCACTGTCAAGCCGCTCAAGAATCCAATCTCAAATATGGGCTCCAGCTCCCAACAAAAAGCGCGGGGCATCCGCATCGCCATCGACCGGGGTGGCACCTTCACAGACTGCGTCGGCAACTTCAAAGGCGAGGATGTCGTTATCAAGCTGCTGTCGGAGGATCCCGCAAACTACGGCGATGCGCCGCTCGAGGCCATCCGCCGCGTCATGTCGCACTTCCTCAAGTGTGACATCCCCCGCGGTGAGCCCCTTGACACAGCCCAGATAGAGTCGATCCGCATGGGCACCACCGTCGCCACAAACGCACTGCTGGAGCGCAAGGGCGAGAAAATAGCCATGGTTGTCACCAAGGGTTTCAAAGACTGCCTCGTAATTGGGAACCAGTCCCGGCCCAAGATTTTTGACCTGGCTATCCGCAAGCCCGATGTGCTCTACTCGTCCGTCATCGAGATCGACGAGCGGGTGACCCTGGAGGACTACGCAGAAGACCCGGAGCGCCATCTCACACGGGTAGACGTCAAGGCCGGCACTGCCGAGGCCAAGACGAGTGATCTGGTGATGGGTCTGTCGGGCGAAGCCGTGCGGATACTGCAGCGACCAGAGAAGGAGGTCATCATGGAGCAGCTTCAGCAGATCTATGACAGCGGCATCAGGAGCATTGCCGTTTGTCTGATGCACGCATATACGTTTCCCGACCATGAGGCACTGGTTGGCGAGGTTGCCCGGGAGATTGGGTTCCAGCATATCTCGCTCAGTCACGAGCTCATGCCCATGATCAAGCTTGTCTCCCGCGCTACCTCTGTGTGCGCGGATGCTTACCTCACGCCGGCCATCAAGAAGTACGTTTCCGGCTTCCAGCAGGGCTTCAAAGGTGGACTTGGCAGCCATAGCGTGACTCAGGAGAAGGGCGAAAGGGGCGCCCGCTGCGAGTTCATGCAGAGCGACGGAGGTCTTGTTGATGTGGAGAAGTTCACAGGACTCAAGGCTATTCTGTCAGGGCCAGCAGGCGGCGTTGTCGGTTATGCGATCACATCATATGACGAGAAGACGAAGATTCCGGTCATCGGCTTCGACATGGGTGGGACCAGCACCGATGTTTCCCGTTATGGCGAAGGGAGATATGACCATACGTTTGAGACTACGACCGCGGGCGTCACTATTCAATCCCCGCAACTCGACATCAACACCGTGGCGGCAGGGGGTGGATCTATGCTGTTCTTCCGCAATGGCCTCTTCGTTGTCGGACCCGAGTCGGCCGGAGCGCACCCGGGACCAGCGTGCTACAGGAAAGGCGGCCCCGCCACCGTCACAGACGCCAACCTGTTTCTCGGGAGGCTGTTACCGGAGTTCTTCCCCAAAATCTTTGGCAAAAATGAAGATGAGGGCTTGGATCCCGATGCTAGTCGAAAAGTGCTCCAGGAGTTGACAGAGCAAATCAACAGGGAGACTGGGAAGAGCATGGCCATCGATGAAGTCGCATATGGGTTTCTCACAGTTGCCAATGAAGCTATGACTCGACCCATCCGAAGCATCACGGAAGCCAAAGGCCACGACTCTTCAAAACACAGGCTGGCAACTTTTGGTGGTGCTGGTGGCCAGCACGCTGTTGCCATTGCCGAATCGCTGGGTATCAAGCAGATTCTCATCCACCGATACTCTTCGGTTCTCTCAGCCTACGGTATGGCCTTGGCAGATGTTGTGGACGAGAGACAGGAGCCAGACTCCACTGTCTGGAAAGACGAAGGGGATATTGTGAACGGCCTCAAGCAAAAGATGGAAGCGCTCAAGGAAAAGTCTCGTCAAGCGCTTCGAGATCAGGGTTTCGAGGATGACGAAATTGTCTTTGAGGAATACCTCAACATGAGGTACCGTGGCACTGAATCTGCACTGATGATCATCAAGCCGAGCAAGGAGGAGTCGGAGAAACTGTACGGTGGCAACGACTGGGCATTTGGAAGGGGGTTCGTAAAACATCATCGTTACGAGTTTGGATTCACCCTGGACGATCGGGACATTATTGTCGATGATGTTCGCGTTCGTGGCATTGGGCGAAGCTTCCAGTACAAGGAGAAATCGGTTGACGAGCAGCTGAAGGCTGTGGAGCGACGGGAAGCCTCGGCGCAGAAGCGGCATTCGGAGGCGAAGGTCTACTTCGAGGGTGGCCGTCTGGACACCCCGATTTACAAGCTAAGCGATCTTGATGTGGGAACTGTTGTGAATGGCCCGGCCATGCTTGCAGATGGAACGCAGACCATCGTTGTCACACCAAACTCGACGGCCCTGGTTCTGGAGACGCATGTCATTATTGATAGTAAGAACGGAGGGGGAAAAGACAAGTGTGTTGACTGTTTCTACCATTGAACAAGCAATTTGCTAACACAAACAGGCCTGCCGGCACCTCAGATCGTGAGGTCGACCCCATCATGCTCAGCATTTTTGGTCACAGGTTCATGGCCATCGCCGAGCAGATGGGTAGGGCTCTCCAAAAGACGAGCGTCAGCACCAACGTCAAGGAGCGGCTCGACTTCTCTTGTGCGATATTCGATTCTACGGGCGGGTTGGTTGCGAATGCGCCCCATCTTCCAGTACATTTAGGTATGGAGGTCTTCCAAAGATCGGTGGGACCATGTTAACAATGTTCAGGCTCCATGTCAACTTGTGTCCGGCGACAAGCGGAAATTTGGAAGGGAAAGCTCAAAAAGGGTGATGTTATCATCTCGAATCACCCCTCATATGGCGGAACCCATCTCCCAGACGTCACGTTGCTGATGCCAGCATTCGACGAAGCTGGTGAGAGGATCCTGTTCTACGCCGCTTCGAGGGCTCATCATGCGGATATCGGCGGCATCACCGCCGGCAGTATGCCACCCCACTCCCGGGAGCTGTGGCAGGAGGGCGCATCCATCAAGAGCGAGAAGCTTGTTGGCGAGGGGAAGTTTAATGAGCAGCGAGTCATCGAACTGTTCTACAAGGAACCCGCCCAATATCCCGGTTGCAGCGGAACTCGCACATTGGCAGACAATATCAACGATCTCCGTGCCCAGGTTTCTGCCAACCAAAAGGGCATCTCTCTCATCGAGAGTCTCATCGAGGAGTACGGCGAAGACACAGTTCAGTTCTACATGGTAGCGATCCAGAACAATGCCGAGCTGCAGGTCAGAAACCTTCTCAAGACTGTCTCCAAGCGGTTCGAAGGCAAAGACCTTTCTGCAGTCGACTTTATGGATGATGGTAGCCCTATCCGCCTCAAAATCACCATTGATGCTGAGAAGGGTGAGGCCAT